TCGATAATGTCTTAGTTTTTGGTTCTAACAATTCTGTCTCTAATTTCGATTTTTCCACTTGGAATACAATGTCCAGCATCTCTGACCGCTAGCCATTGTTAGTTAAAATGGATACTTCATAAGGCTGAACTCACTTTGAACCCAGTTTTATCTGAATGCTGTAGATTCACCAAAGAGGTCAGAATACTCTGGGTCAACTAGCATGTCTGGTTGGTTTGTGGCTTTCAGGTCTCTTTCAGACCTCAGTTCCATGATCAGGGCCGATCCAAAGGATGAAAAAAATACAAACATATTTGTACACATACAACCTACCTTTTGAATTTTTCAAACTGTTTCACAAAGGTTGTTCATGGCATTTTGTGACAAGTATTATGCAGTAAGCGCTTGGCAGCCATCTTTATGGCTAGTGTTATAACATTAGTTATTGCAGCAACAGTAATATTACTGAGCAAGTATATGACACATACCTTCTCTTTTCTGGTATGGCAGGCCTAGAATGGTTATGACTAGTAACACTATTAGACTACTAAGAAGCTGCATGCCAGGATCTCTCTCAGCGAAAAAAATACTGGGGTGATCAGCATCATTCCAGGCAGCTTGCTACAGGCAAGCTTTCAAGCAGAGTGAACCAAAGAGCCTTAAATGGCCTGTGGATTAGAAGGTGCTGTCAAGAGTAATAGATCAATAGACAATTTCGAAGAATGAATAGAATCCTATACAAAATTAGGTGCACACAAAGCTGGTCTGCACACAGGACTTTATGAGACACATTATCTCAAGGTTGTGGGTTCGAGCCCCACACTGGGCAAAAGATTCCTGCATTGTAGGGGGCTGGACTAAAGGACCCTTGTGGTCCCTTCAGTTCCATGATTCTGAGATCTAGATGGAGGGCTGTTTTCTATGCTTCGTTGGGAAGTCTAGTATAGTATGCTACATGGCTGCAATGCTTCTGGGATCTGGCATGGAAATTTTCTGTGCAACCAAATTCTCGGTAGGGATTTCCTTTAAAAATACATGCTACGAATTATGCCCTGAACCACACATCAGTCTGGGAGGGGTAGATCAGGTTGGTTGGTTGGTTGGTTGGTTCATAGCGTATTGGCAAAGATCAAATGCCTCAAGGCATCCCTAAAACTGTAGTGGTGACTTATTTATTTATTTCATTTATGAACTATTTCCCATGAAATATCCTGAAGCAATCAACAGTCAGAACATCTATGAAATTATAAAACAACTTTAATCCAGAAATTTAGAAACATGAGTCCATCTAGGAACAACAGATAGACTCATTTGTAATATGTGAGTCTGTTCTGTATCTGAATTTCTGATCAGGCTGTTTATAAGAAGATTTGTGGTCTTTTTTCTGAAAAAGCTGCCATTATTATTATTATTATTATTATGTACCTTAATTCAAGTTGACTTCTCGCTGATTTACCCTGGGATTCACATGCCATTTTTGGAAAGGAAAACCCAGGTTGGATTATTAAAATAGCCACCCAGTCGCCATGCTGTGTCCTCAATCCCTGGTAATTGAATAATCTTGTATCTGAAGCAGATAGTCAACTGTATGTGTAATTAGACCTTTCTCCCCTGAAAATGATGGGATGGTGGTGTTTCTGATTACTTGTTTCATGAGTTACACTAGTTTATCAGAATAATGAACAGATCCAATATAACTAAATTATGTCTGCAGCTGTCCTATCATCCAATAAACTAAAAACCATATTCTTTCTCCTCCTCCTCCTCCTCCTCCTCCTCCTCCTGATAAATTTTATCTGTCAGTGTTTATTTAAATATCAGCAATATATTTTAATAATCCTAAGGACCTTCTTGTTATTATGTTATATGTTCCAGGCTGGGTTGGTTTTGCTTTCATTGCTTTGGTTTTTTTTTTGCCTCTCATAGTAGGGCTTGACTTGCAATAGCAAGGGAAGTTGGAGAACAGAAGAACTGCAAGATAAGAAGCTGAACCTTCAAGGCCAGCTGGCTTAATTGGCTCTACAAACAAGCTGCATGTCTTTTGTAATCTGCTCACAGAGTAATTTTCTGACTTTGCTAAATATAGATATGTGACGCTGTTTCCCTCCAAACAACAAAAATATTGACAATGTATTATATTTTGTTCTTCCCTCTGAATGAGCATGTATACCTATAGCTTAGGTGTTGTGCATACAACTTAACAGTACTGTGGCACATTGAAATCTATCAAATTTACATAGAGCTCTAAAGTGCAGACCTGTCCCTAGAAACATGGCACCAAAGGAAGTCTGGTTGTCATGCTTACAATAGACCCACTGAAATCATTGGAATTTAAGTCTGACTTATATCTCACTGAGTCCAGTGAATTGACTCTAAGCATAACTAAGTCTGGATCTGATCCAATCAGACTTGTATTGTTTGGGAATCGATGCACATTCCTGACAAATCTGGGAACGAATTCTAGTAGCAAAGAATACCAATAAAAGAAACAGACAATTTAAGTGTGTGAGAGGGCACAAAGTACCCTAATATTCTGTCTATTTAGCTGACACGGACAGCAGCTATTAATAAGATGTTGGGTGTGAAGCTTTCACATGGCTTAGCACCATGTTTAACGTCTTTGCAATCTGTATAGTCTTCCTAACCTTTATACATGCCAGCAATCTATGGCCTGGATGGATGCCATACTATATGCAAACTCTGTGTGTATACATAGTGGTTTTAAATGTTATAGTGAATTACGGAGAAAACTGCATCCACAGGGACTCTGATGTGTCAGGAATAATTTTTAATAGGTGTCTTAAGAGGAGATGATTAAAATAATGATTGCTTTTCTATCATGCCTTCCTACAGAAACTCAGGGTGTCCCCAGAAATCACACAAATGCCACCATTGTATTAAAACAATAGTTAAAATAGTAACTTAAATCTGTATCAAAACTCAAAAGCACCGAAGCAGCAGACACGGCAGAGTTTCTGGCATAGCAGCATAGAAGTTAGTACTTCAACTAAGGTAAATTAAGTTGTTATATTAGCTAGGACCTCATAAAAGTATAACCTCGCAGAGCTATTCTCACAAGTAGCTTTACCTTTTAATAGAGGCCAGCAGGGATTTTGCTGGGTGTTTAAAAGTCTCAGGGCCTAGGCCCATGATACGAATTAGCATAAAATTTGCAATTTATACGTAGAGATGCAAATACAAGCCTCTGAGCAAATTAAGTTGGTGGGTGGCTGAGGTCTCATTGGTGCTGCACTTTGAAGTATGCAAAGCCATCCTTTAATATTTAAAAAATAATAAAGGAAAGTGATAGAAGACCAGGTGCTCATTGCAAAAGACCCAGGGCCGCCCCCTAACAATGTTCCTTGAAGACCAGCTCTCTGGCACAGGGAAGTTGAGATGATTTCCAACAGCAGCTTGAAATATGTGTCTTTCTTTGCGGAATGCAAACCAAATTAGCTTTTTCTGTGTGTGATTCACGTAAACCTTTTCTCACCCCCCCCATCCTCACATTTGTTCATAAAGTGTCAATATAAATTCTGATCATCTGACAATGATTTTGGGTTTTCTTACTGAAATATATATTTGGTAAATTGTGGAGCACTGATTGCAAATTCATTATTCATCATGTAAGTCTTTGAGGTTGATGAACCACCATTTTAGGAATTGCACCTGCAGCAATAAGCTTCATGTGACAAATGGAATCTATTTTAGTTTTAGCCTTGGCTATTTATGCCGGCATTTGTTTTAAAGGCTTTGATTTAGATATGTATATAACATAGCAGCTATGACAACGATGTGAAGATGTTGTAAAAGATTGTAAAAGACGATGTGGAGTTTGAGACTAGCATCTAGAGAAACAAGATTCTAATTACAGTAGCAGATTCAAAGTATAAGGCGAGAAATGCCATGGGATTAAAAAAAAAACCACCTGCCTATGTAGTGTCCCATCCCACCCATGGTCTGGGAAGAGAATCTTTGTGTTTTTCTTGGAGGGCCAGCCCTACTGTTAGCAGAGTGGGATAGCTGTTTCAGGCAGCTGGTTTTGCATGCCATGAAAGGACAGCACATTGTTTCCTTTTTAAGTTGTTATTATAATATTTTTTACTGCCCCCATGTTCTCATTGTAATTCACACACTTCATAGCAGAAAACCAAAAATAAAACAATTTTTCCCTAAGTGGATTAAAACGAGAGAATACGTAAATACATTTATTTGCGTTAATGTTGAGGGACACAGTTTATTCTGAGGCCAGATTTGGGTGTGGTTGACAGCAGAACTTTGTATGTCCGTTGCAGAAATCTAGACTCCTTCATGGCGTGACAACTGTCTTTATTTTCCTTGTGGTTAATTAACAAGGGCAGTTCCCCCAAACTTTTCATCCTGTCAGATGTTGCCCTCTCTGTGGCGTAAAGACACTAATGCTTTAAATGATGAATAATAGATGGAGGTTGTGTGTACACCATGGAAGAAAATTAACTTTCAGCTGATGGTGGGAAGCCGTGCAATCCTTTGCATTCCTACTCAGAACCAAGAAAGGGTTGAGTTCAGCGGGACTTGCACCCCTGTTGCCCAGGATTGCACCCCGACTCTTTGGCATGCGCGAGCATCATGCTTTGGTGCGACTGCGGAGGTGGTGGAGAAGTAGTAGTGGCAGTGAGTGACGAAACATCTTTGGGGCACTGGTTTTTACAGCTCTCTGCTCCTTGTCCAGCAACCACAGTTCCCGTGGGCAGCTCATTTGTCTGCAGGATCAAAAGACACAGATTGCCCTAGGAGTGTTCTTGGCCGGGCGGGCGGTGGTGGAAATGTGTTGCTTGCCTCAGCCCTGTGCTGTCAGGGCTCTGGCGAACTGTCATGCTGGCACCGCTCAAGTGCCACCTGATTGGCTGCTGGCAAGGGCTGATTAAGAATACTGATGCTGGCTCAGCTGCTCTGTGGCTCCGTTCTCTCTCTCCCCCCCACCACTCCTCAACTCCTCCCCCCCCCTCCACATCATATCTCCAAATAGCAAGTAATTGTGAGCATATGAAGACAGCAAGGGGGTGGGGGAATCCACATCGCGTAGCTTGAGTCTCTCTCTCTCTCTGTGTGTGAGGGAGGGAGACACAGAGGGGGAAAACAACGGTCTGTTTTAGCTGCAGTGCTACAGCAGAGTCAGACTTCTTCCCTGCCCCAGGTTTTGTGCCAGCACGCAAACTGCTTACAGGTTTGACAAGCTGTGAAAAGACTTGCCTGTTGTTGTTGTTGCTCCTGCTGCTGGTGCTGCTGCTGTGTGTAAATTGAGCATCCTCTGTCTTGCCTTTCGCTGGACCGGCGGATCTCTTGCTCTTGAGAAAGGTGTTTCGGAAGGGCCCCCTACTAAAGTGGTTCTCTTCAGTTCTTTCTATTTTTATGGTGAGTACCGGCATGTGCACAGACAATGTTTGCTGCAGTGCTCGCTAGCTCTCTTCCATCGCCGCTCTCTCTCTCTCTCTCTCCACCCCCCCCCCAGTGGATCACCGCTAAGCCTCTTGACCTTCATTTACTGTCTCATTTTCTCTACCCTCCTCCTGCACTGGCATGTGTTTTATGAAGTAAATGCAAGTTGCTCTTTGGTCGGGCTCCTGCGCCTCAACGCCCCTCGCTTGAAATCCCCTTTTGTCCTTGAAAGAGGGAGCAAGCATGCTGCTGGCTGACAGCTTACAGCAGTCTGAAGGAATCCTGAAGAAGTGGAAGAGGGGGACTTGGGGAAAGACACAGGTCTGCCGCACCACAAAAATAAGCTTCATGCTTTACAGGAGAGGGAGGGAGGGAGGAAAAGCCATCCCTGGGCTTTCAGAAGGGGTGGGAGCTCATGTCTTTCCTACCAGCATTTTATCATCTCTCTTCAGGAGGGCCTCTTGAGGCACCAGCTTTCTAAGTGAAAATATCTGAGAAGATTAATTGGGCATTAAAATGAGCTCTCCTTTGTGCTGAGGAAAGCCAACCTGCACTGCTTCTAGAGGAGGGAGGTGGGGGGAAAGAGATAACTTTAGTGAGCAGGACTTAGACACCTCTCCTCTCTTGTCCTGAGAAGCCTCAAAACTTAAGTGTTTTACAACGCTTCAAGGAGAAGGAAAAGTGCACATATTTCCAAACAGAAATTATAATTGTTTGGGCTGTACTTTGTCCTGTGTTAACAAAAATTTGATTTGAATATGCCTGCTGTCAGTTGATAACATAGCACATACTTAGTATATAATGGAATATAGCAGTCTCCTTAGTGTCTTTCCAACTTACCTTTCTAAAGGGAAGAATGCTTGTACTGCAGATTAGTTACTGTGAGCTCATCCTCCACAATATGTTTTTCAGTATGAATTTTATGAATACATATGATGCCCAGCTTAAATGATTCCCTTGGATCATTATTTCACTGTAATCATAACCTCGAGCCCCAAACCTACATAAAAATTTGAAATGAGGTGACCTGTACAAGGAGAGGAACCCATGTGGTTTAATACAAGAAGAGACAGATTCCTTAGTATAGATCAGGTTTGCCACCAGCATAAATGGCTGCTGGGGGGCAGCTCAGGGTCATGTTGTGCAATACACTGCCAAGGTGATCAGGGTGACCAGCTTTGACAGCACTGGTCATGTCTTGTGAAGAGCAAGTGTCCATAAACACATTAGTTGGTGTATAACCTTCTGTTCTTTCTTAATGCTCCCTGACTTCACCTTGGATAAGAGCCAGGGCATTTCTTTTACCTGCCCCAGGCTATAATCCTATAAACATTTTCCTTTGAGTAAGCCTATTGAACTAAATTGTGCTTACATATGAGTAGACATGCATAGGAGTGTGCTGTTGGTGTCCTTTGTTTCCTCCCCAAGATCAGAACAGAGATGGAGTATCATTTTAAGCTACATATTTTTAATATGTGATTTTTATAACACGGTCCCTTGGACCTTTAATATTGATTCAAGCAATTTAATCCCTTGGAAACTGATGGGACAAACTGGACTTTCTGGCTTAACTAGAGCGCAGATTCGACTGCTAATAAGAAAATCTCAATTAGTGATTTGACCTGTGATGTGAGTAGTACAGGAAGTAGTACAGGAAGGAGCTATATTATTTTTCTGATAATAATGGGCATGCCTGCAATAGTGAAAAAATACCAAGATTACCATTAATGGGTTTTGGGTTTGTTTGTTTTTAAGAAAAAAGAAGCAGTAACATTGCAAAGTTCTTCACATTTAGTGTGACAGCAAATCTGGTGCACAGACATGGGCACTTGCGACCAACTATAACTTTGGCATAGTGGAAATAGTGATCTGTTGGAGCGGTGCTGGAGAATCTGAGCTACAGTGGTGATGTCAACATCTGAGTAAGAAAAAAGTGCAGTGAGGTGAGATGCTTCTTCAAAACAAAGGAGGGGTCTTCCTCAGACCAGTACAAACCAGGTTTCTTATAACTCAGGACACACTACTTGTCTTACTTTGTGTTCCCAGCGGAATTGCATGAGACTGCCCTGTGTTAACAGCAACAGAGAGCAAAAAGGGACAGAAAGCCATTCAGTTCCATCCTTCCTACATGAGAACGCACACATGCCTAAATACAAAGGGAGCAGATGCACTGCAGAAAGATTACTGCAGAGCAAATTGTTCCAAATGACTGAGCGAGTGAACCAGTTCAAACAATGCAGGAACTGTTGGGGTTTAAGCCCAAACCAGCTTCCCCCAGTCTGGTGTCCTACAAATGTTTTGGGACTGCAGCTCCAGCCAGCACAAACATGCTGGCTAGAGCTGATGTGAGTTGCAGTTCAAAACATCAGGAGGGCACCAGGTTGGGAAAAGCTGGTCTAAACTTTAGGCATCTAAGTTTTCTCCCTACACTGCAGATCTGAGAATCTTTGAAGCTTGCTGCACAGGGTTGCTAAGCCTTAACTAGTAGGTTCCTTGACTCTTCAACTCAGTGTTTTCTGGTTATAGCGTAGGTTTGCAATTTATGACGTATTTCTTTATTAAAGTACTTGCACAGTGGATAATTCTTTTTTGCACTGTAAACATGTTGTGTGTTGCAAAAATCCCTCTTTAGTCATCACTGCTGAAGTGTTTGGGTGCTGCACAGCGACGTAAATATGTGATGCTTCTAAAACTCTCAAGATTTGTTTCAGGCTCACTGAACTAATAATATAGCATTGATGCAATTGCATTGTATCACTAAACTTTACATTGGGTTAGTGAAGCCCAGAGGAATCTCAATGCATTCCATCAAAATGACACCTCAAAATTATAGCAGGTAACTAGGATGCTTTTTCAGACCCAGTTCACACCACTGTTCATATGTAGCACATGCTGCATGAAATTAGCTAGCAGCTCTGAATATATGGAAATTACATTTGTGCAGGCTATTTCCCCCTAGAACCTTTCTTAGAAAGTTATTTTGAGCATGGGATATTCTAAAGGCTATTATATGCTGGATACATAGGACAAAAATTGTGTATTAATTTAATCATTGGTTGATGAACAATAGTTTATTTGACAAGTTCTATCCTTACAACCAGGCTACAATGGACTAGGGTTCAATTAAAATAGGAGCAATACATGCATAAACAAGGAATAGCTTGCTTGCATTATAACAGCCAGTTCCTGGGGTCCCTCTGTCACATTCTAGCATTACCAAGAAAGGCAGCCCAGGACAGGTAAGTCACATGAAGCATCAGGGCAATGCAGTTATGAGCAAGTGTGGTTATTGGTGGTTCCCATTGAGCTTCTAGGGAATAAAGTAAATAAGTTGCTTTCTGGCACACAGTTTAGGAGGCAAATGCTGCCTAGTGCCCCTAATTGGAATTTCACTGGTAGGGAATTCCACTTAACTTCCTTTCAGTTCTCTGTGGCTTCTATCACCTGCCTCATGACAGGTGTTAATACAATAAACTTCGTAATTATCACTAACTTGGAAAGGTTAAAGATGTGCCTTCTGAAGATATATTTCAGCTCTAATTATCACTGTCTGTAATTTTTGCATCTCATTGCCACACAACTCCCACCTTACAACTTTCCACTTTCGTTTGTTTGTTTTATTTCATGCATTTATGTCCCACCTTATACTAAATGCATTCTGAGGAAGAGGGTTTGAATCCACAAAAGCCAGTTCTCAAGGTGCCACGAGCCTCTTTGGTTGTCTTAGTTGTTTCCTAGAGCAGATGGCATAAGATAAGTGGCTTGGATCCTAGCTATGGTTCCATGAGCAAAAGAGCTCAACCTGTTCATGGATAGGACTGAGATCCAGTAGAGCAGGCATGTCCAAAGTCAGTTTCGGGGGCCCTAATCCAGACCGCTGGTCAGTTTAATCCGGCCCCTGTAGCAGTTTATTTCCTGGGTTAAAATCCCTCAAAAACCCTCCACAACCTTAATCCTAAAAAAAGCTCAAAGCTCAACAACTTCAACCCTCAAAAAGCTTCAGTCCTAAAAAAGCTCAACAACACTGGGGTACAATCATAAAAAAGCTCAACTACTTCACTTCAATCCTAAAGAAAGGTCAACAACTTTGGTTGGCCCTCACGGCCCTTCACTTCATCAAATCTGGCCCTCTTTAAAAACAGTTTGGACACCACTGCAGTAGAGGATCCCACTGGTAGACCAGGGGGAGACAATTGTCACAGATTTCCCTGCTCTAGTCCTTTGTGTGGCCTTTCATGATGTCACACCCTTCAGTATTCCGCCGATTAAAAGTGAGATGCGTATCTTTAAGTGCTGTGCTCCTGTGCAAGCCAACTCAGGTTTCCCAGCCCCTGTCTCCATTACTGGCAGCAGTTCCCTCTGTGAGCACCACACCAGCTCGTCCTCCTCGTCCTCCTTGGCTTCTTTTCCTCCTCCAGTGGGCAGAGGAGGCATGGCTTCTGGGCCCAGCGTGGTTGGTCTGGCCTGCACAAGCAGCGGCTCCCCCACCTCCACGGGCTCTGGCATGGGCACCCTCACAAAGTGAGGATCGGCATGGAAAATGAGACATCCAATCAGAAGCTGGGATGGCTTCTGTAATTCCAGTATGTCCTGGTCAAATTGGGACTGTTGATGGGTATGTGATGTTCCAGAGGCTTCCTAATTAGGCACAAGGGGCTGCAGGAGGAAAGAGCCATCAGCAATAGCTCCCCCCTCCGATTTTCTCCTGGCGGTAGCATTCCGTAACAGAATACTGTATGTATTACATATTTTCTATTAGAACCTAGATTTCACAGGGGAGATGGTAGCACGGACCTCTATATACACAACCAATTTAACTGATATCAGCAATACTTATGCTGCTGTCCCTTTGCACCACTAGGAGCTGTTGAGCCCAATGCACCTAGTAAAATCAGCCTTGCTGTAGTTTCGTAGCCTTCTGTACATGCCCAAGTATGCACACAAGTTTAAACAAAAGGTCAGCCTTCAGTCAGTGT